TAAAAGCTTCTTTCTGAAGGCCTCAGAGAGCTCTTTGGATCTCACCATGGTGATATCATTCATTTCGACAATCAAAAGCAAACAAAATTAAATGTCTGTGGTTTAAATACGACAGGCTCCACCAAAAAACAATGTTCTAATCATCTTCACCTTATATGGTGCCACCTGAATCTTATTCTAGGCATTTTAAATAGTGATGAATGTGAAGGTTGTCACGTTCAGCTCCGAACGCTCCTCGTGTGTGCCACGCCCCCTCATTACCTCCTGTCGAACCTTGATTGTCGTCACCTGTTCCCTATTCCGTTTGCCTTGTCTTATGTAAGCCGATCGTGACAAGGGTGTCCTAACTTTTCCCTCAGTGGAAATTAGCATCTTAGTCAATTTCTTTTCATAAATAAGTGAATTTGTTTCTTGTTTTTGCATAGGTGATGTAATTATGTCACCTTTATCTACACGTAGCGCTCCCATGCTGTGGTAACATGCATGACTCCTAAATCCTATCCACTATCACTTCGGGGCGCCCTGAGATCTTTTATCTTATTTACAGTAATTTACAAGTGGAGGTTTCAGATGTTGTTTTCTCCCCTAATTGGTATGAGATTCTTTCGCTGTCAACTATACCAAAGGTACTCCCGGTTTAAATAATCACCGTCTTCCAGGGTAAAATGGAAACACATACCTTTACTTTTAAACTGTGATTATTACACAATAAAATAAATAACAATCGGCTAGGGAATCTTTCATTCAGGGCTTTACCAAAAATGTCATGTGGTTGAATTTCTTTTTTTTTTTAGAATTGGGTCTCTTTAGGAGAAATGATCTGGTTTATCATGACTGTCACGTTTCGCAAGCGGGCGAGCGGCGAAGCAGGCAAACGGAGCCGTAAATAAGGACAGACGGGGTTTATTACTGACGGGATGGCTGACAGGCACAAACTTCCACGAACAAACATAACAATACAATGACGGATCTGGGGAAGACTGACTGAGACTCGGACTAAATACATGAGACAAGGCAAAAGGAATAGGTAACAGGTGATGACAATCAGGAGTCGACATGAGGTAATGAGGGGGCGTGGCACACACGAGGATCATTCGGAGCTGAACGTGATAATGAAAGAATGACATTTGGGGTGTTTTCATCAAAGTTCCATTATTTTCAATTGTGGAATGCAAGTCCCCCAACAGGTGGCTGAGGTGTGGAA